TACAGCACCAGCAGGACCTCCAGCAGCTCCAGCTCCAGTAGCACCTCCAGCAGTAGGCCCCCCAGCTCCAGCAGCACGGCTACAGCGCCGAGCGTACCACTCGCGCAGCTGCTGTGGAGAGAGGGGCTCCCGCCGTGACAAGACACCCGGAGGACCTCCAGACTCAGCACGCTCAGGCTCAGCACCCCCAGGCTCAGCACCCCCAAACTCAGCACCCCCAGACTCAGCACCTCCAGGCTCAGCACCCCTAGGCTCCGCACGCTCAGGCTCAGCACCCCCAGGCTCCGCACCCTCAGATTCAGCAACCCCAGGCTCAGCTCCCCCAGGCCCCGCACCCGCAGGCTCAGCACCCCTAGCAGCACCAGAGTCGACAGCTACCTCGACAGGCTCGACAGGGTCTACCTGGGACACACCTGAGGGGGCAGGACCTTGAGGGGGGAGGGGGTCTACCGGAGGAGCACCTGGTGCTAGGAAGAGCGGCGGGGGGGGGAGAGGGGCAGTGCGGTAGGGAAAGAGACGGTAGTAAGGTACTGACTCGTCAAACGTGACGTCCTGAGAGAACACGACGCGAGGTGGGGTGGTAAAACTGCCAACCAGGCGCGTTAGGGGGGAAGCCAAGGAAGACGCAGGGAACAGCACGGGAGGACAGCTTGTCCGCGGAAGAATCGCGGACAAAAGCTCGAGATCCCCAGACACGGAACACAGACGCATCGCCAACCTTCCCCGTCCACCGCAGAGTAGGTGTGGTCTCCGGCACGGAGACACGAGGCTGAAGGTTGAGCTGATGCGCAGCGTACTGAACCGCGAACGGCCACAGAAAATGGGGAGCAGCCGCATGGATCATGGACGTTCGAGCGACGTCCATGACCATGCCAATGCGGTGCTCAGCAATCCCATTTTGCTGTGGGGAGGCCGGAAGCGTGAACGTCTGGCGGATGCCCTCCGCACGACAGAAAGCTCGCAGAAGGTCGGAGGATAACTCACCACCTCTGTCGGAGTGCAGACGCAGAACAGGAAGGTCCGAGCCAAAACTCTCGCTGAGCTGGTGACGGGCAGCGCGGATCCAGTCGATCAACACCTTAGTGACCTCACCCTTGCGGCGCAAGGGGAAGACTGTGGTGTAACGCGAGTAGTCGTCAACGACCAGCAGAAAGTAACGCTCGTGACCCTGTCCACGGACGCGGGCTGGGCCCTACACGTCCATGTGGAGAGTCTGCAGGGGGGCCTCCGTCGGAGGGAACTCGGAGAAGTGAGGAGCGGGGCGCTGCCGTCCCTCGACACAAGGAACGCAGGTAGGGGCAGGCCCCGGTGGGAGGGGAGAGAGAGATTGGGGGAGACCAGAGACAAGGGTACGGGAGGCCATACCTCGGAGATGAGGCAGGGAGGGGTGACCAAGGCGGTGGTGCCAAAGGAGAGTCTCGTGTGACAGAGTACGACACGAGCAGGGGGCAGACTCCGGACCAGACCTGGACGCGGCAGCAAACACCTGACCAGACGCGGCTACCTGACCAGACGCAGCAACTGGAGGAGACTCAGTAGTCAGTGTGTACAGGCTCGACCCAGGTCGACGGGTGAACGTGGTCAGGTGGCGGCCCGTGCGAGTGTACGTACAGTGGGTCACACGCTGACCTCCAGGAGTGAACTGGTCAACCCACACGTCCTGGAGGTCAACTCCACTCACCAAGTTCGTAGAGAACGAGGGGAGGTGAAGACCCGACAGTGAGCCCGACGGGGCCGCCGGACACGGCAGAACCGTGGAGGAGTGCGCAAGGACTGGGCCCCCAGAGGGGTCCGCCAGGGAGACTGCAACCGGTCGACTGAGCGGCGTGAGTGTGGTGCTGTCGCGAAAGAAGGAGCATGAAGCACCTGAGTTAAGTGTGAAGGTGTGCAAGGCCTCAGCAGGCGTAGTACCAGAGAGAGCAGACTCACCAGCACCTGGAGCAGCAGACTCACTAGTACCTGGAGCAGCAGACTCACTAGCACCTAGAGCAGCAGCTTCAATGCCCGGGTCGGGCGGAACACACAGGTAACAGTCACCCTCAGCACTATCAGTCACAGCATACATGGCAGCAAGGATAGCATCGAAATCAAGATCAAAGATAGCAACACCAGACTTAAGCAGATCACCCCAGCGGCGTCAGGAAAATGGGCGCGCCAGGCGTCAGTCAGGCGACCGAAACAGCGCTGCGTAGTGTGTGGCAGTCCGCACGTCTCCTCACGGCGCCCGCCGGTGCGGAGAACGTATGTGCAGGGACCAGCACCCCCAGACCCCCCACGCCCAGCGTACCACTCACGAAGCTGCTGGGGTGACGGGGTCTCACGGGAACGTGGCTGCTGCTGGCGCTGGCTACCGCCAAAGCCTCCATGCTGCGCGGCTCCTCCTCGACCAGCACCACCACCGCCGCCACCTCCACTGCCGCTGCCGCTGCCTCCACTGCCGCTGCCGCTGCCTCCACCACCTCCACCGCCGCTACCGACTCCCCCACTCCCGCCACCACCCTCACCTCCACCGCCACCCCCTCCGCCGCCTCCACCGCCTCCTCCGCCGCCCCCACCGTCCCCTCCACCACCCTTGCCCCCCTTGCCCTTGCCGCTGTGGTGCCTCCCACTAGGAGCAGACGCAGCCCCGACCTCCTCAGTGCCAACGAGGTCGACAGCAGCAGCAGAAGCAACAGAGGGCAGAAGGGGAACGGGGGAACACCCCTCAAAGAAAGGGGTGCGAGGGTCGCCACGAGAAGCACCTACAGCAACTGTGCTCTTCTCAGCTGCAGTGAGCCGCTCCTCTAGCAGGTCGACGGTGAGCTCGGTGGGGCAAAGGGAGAGAAAGTGGTCCCTGACTGAGCAAAGAGAGTCAGGGAGACGGGTGACTAGGTAGAAGAGGGTGATGTACATGGAGGGGGGGGTTCTTGGCGCAGAACTCGGAGGGAAGCGCAGCGCGGTAGCGGGCGTCACTAGTGCGGAGGTGAGCAATGAGGTCAGCGACTGTGGGAAAGGCGGCCAGGTCAGGGAACAGGTACGGCAGCATGATGCGACTGAGGGCAGCAGTGGCAGGGGAGGAGTAGCGCGCTACGACAGCGTCATACAAAGACTTAGCAGTCTTGTACTGGCCAAAGTGTGCGCGCTCAGCAGACGGGAGGTGACTACGAACAGCAAGGCGAGCAATAGCGTCACGAGTAGTCCACTGTGAGCGAACCGTACTGTCAGCAGTGGCAGCAGGTGCAGCAGAGACGCCGGACGTGTGATCGAAAAGCGAGACTCCGTCCCTAGAGTCGCACTGTAGAAAGAGCTGCAGGTCATCTACCCAAACGTCGAAGTCAACCGCACGACCCTCAGCATCAAAGGTAAGAACATTAGGGCTAGCCATGGCGGCAGTAGCAGCAGTAGCAGCAGAAGCAGCAGTAGCAGCAGTAACAGCTGCAGTAGCAGGGGCAGTGCGGGCAGGGCAGTGCGGCTCAGTAGGGCAGGGCGGCGCGGCTCGGCAGGGCGGCGCGGCTCGGCAGGGCGGCGCGGCTCGGTAGGGCGGCGCGGCTCGGCTGGGCGGCGCGGCTCGGCTGGGCGGCGCGGCTCGGCAGGCAGGGGGGCGCTTACCAGGGGCGGGTGCAGGGCAGGGCCGCAGCTGGCGGTTAGGTCAGGGCCGCGACAGGGCGGCGGTAGGGCAGGGCCGCGACGAGGCGGCGGCAGAGCAGGGCCGCGACGGGGCGGCAGCAGGGCAGGGCCGCGACAAGGCGGCTGCAGGGCAGGGCCGCGACTGGGCGGCGGCAGGGCAGGGCCGCGATGGGGCGGTGGTAGAGCAGGGCCGCGACAAGCGGCCGAGGGCAGGGCCGCGACGGGTGGCGGCAGGGCAGGGCTGCGACGGGCGGCGAGGTCAGGGCCGCAACTGGGGCGGCAGGGCAGGGCCGCGACGGGCGGCTAGGTCAGGCCGCGACGGGCGGCTAGGTCAGGCCGCGACGGACGGCGACAGGGCAGGGCCGCGACGGGCGGCAAGGTCAGGGCCGCGACGGGCCGGGAGGGCAGGGCCGCGACTGGCGGCAGTAGGGCAGGGCGCGCGACGGCGCAGGTGAGGCAGGCGCGAGGCGCGCTTCGGGCAGGGCAGGAAAAAAAATATTTATCGTGGTGGGCCCTCATAAAAAACGTTCCCACTAGGGAACCTGCTCGGAAACCATGTCAGAAATGAGAAGGAAAGAATGACTAGAAAGAGAGCAGTACAAGGTTTGTATAGCAAAAACCTAATTTGGGCTGTACCCCATAAGGAGTGCCCCACTACAGCCTAGAGCATATATGCATAGTTCTGACATAGATGTGCACACGAAGGTTGAAATTTCAATGTCGATCTGACGGTCGTAATCAAAGTGTGGAACTGTTTCTGCGTATGAACAAAAGCCGTTGCTGGAGTTGACCCGCACGCGATGTTGCCGGGAACCTGCTGAGATGAATTTGAGCAGAGACCGTCGATGTTGTAGACGTCCATCATGCTCCGCCAGTTGTCGGAAACAACAGAGCATAAACAGTGCGCTGATACTGATCCGAAACTCCCTGAACTCCATGGTTTCTCAAAAATATTTTGTGTCTCGTACTTTCGTTAATGCCGAAAGTAGATACCTGTTCATAATCGTTGTCGATACCGAATCCAGATGTGCGCGAGCAGGCACACTTCCGCTGCGTACGATAAACCTGTCACATTTTTAGGGTTACCACAAAGGATAGAACGTCAAACGGCCGTCAGCCACAAACAGAAACAGATTGATAAAGACGGCGAGATAGGGATTATGGCTCGTCGACCTTCCAAGGGAGGGTCACGAAGGTACGTAAGAGCCGCTCACAACCTCCAATGGGCACGAACGTCGGCGCATTCAAAAATTATGCGGAATCCGGCGGAAAATCAAGCACATTGCCGTGAGTCCATGGTGGAGAACGATACCTGAGAATACGTGTCTCTCCACACATTCGCTATTTAGTAAACTCGTCCCTACAGCCATATGGCAATCGTGACTGCGTTAAACATGACCATCATTACCAATCGCCACGATTCCCCTCTCCTCACGCCACCATCTTCAATTCCCCCTCCCGTCGTCCTCGCTTTCCCCTCGCGTCGCCTCCACTTCCCCCTCCCGTCGCCCCCACTTTCCCTTCCCGAACCCTTCAATCACACCTTCCCGTCGCCTCCACTTCCCCCTCCTGTCGCCTCCACTTCCCCCTCCCGTCGCCTCCACTTCCCCCTCCCGTCGCCTCCACTTCCCCCTCCCGTCGCCTACACTTCCCCCTCCCGTCGCCTCCACTTCCCCCTCCCGTCGCCTCCACTTCCCCCACCCGTCGCCTCCACTTCCCACTCCCGTCGCCCCCAATTCCCCTTCCCGTCGCCTTCAATTCCCCTTCCCGTCGCCTCCACTTCCCCCTCCCGTCGCCCCCACTTTCCCTTTCCGTCGCCTCCACTTCCCCCTCCCGTCGCCTCCACTTCCCCCTCCCGTCGCCTCCACTTCCCCCTCCCGTCGCATCCACTTCCCCCATGCTCACTCTCTTCCCCCATGCTCACTCTCTTCCCCCATGCTCACTCTCTTCCCCCATGCTCACTCTCTTCCCCCATGCTCACTCTCTTCCCCCATGCTCACTCTCTTCCCCCATGCTCACTCTCTTCCCCCATGCTCACTCTCTTCCCCCATGCTCACTCTCTTCCCCCATGCTCACTCTCTTCCCCCATGCTCACTCTCTTCCCCCATGCTCACTCTCTTCCCCATGCTCACTCTCGTCCCCATGCGCACTCTCTTCCCCCATGCGCACTCACTTCCCCCATGCTCACTCTCTTCCCCCATGCTCACTCTCTTCCCCCATGCTCACTCTCTTCCCCCATGCTCACTCTCTTCCCCCATGCTCACTCTCTTCCCCCATGCTCACTCTCTTCCCCCATGCGCACTCACTTCCCCCATGCTCACTCTCTTCCCCCATGCGGATGGAGATGGGAGGGGATGAGGGAAAGGAGACGCTTACAAACAAGGCGAGGAGAGGAGGGCGTAAGAGCCAGACGGCGTGGGGTGAAGCTCTCCGAATCCAGCGATGCCCCATCCCTATTCCACAGACAGACGGCGGGGAGAGAGGGCTGCATAGGTGCATGGGGACAGTGGGGACGCATTCGAAAGGTGGGAAGGGGGGATTTGATGTGAGCATATGAGGGGGTGCGGCAGGAACTGTCGGACACGACATTAGGAACGCGTTGGTAGCCATGATGGCGACATGCCTGATTCGCAATCACATGTCGAACTTGGTCGCAACATCTCAAACCGATTCACGTGTTTGTAAGCGATGCGCGCATTTCCGGCAATTCGCTCCACAGATGCAATGACGAGTCGGCGTTTTACCCGTCCGTGTAGTTGAGAGCGACGACGTGTTTGCGACGATGCGCCACGCAACCTCTCACCGCGCCATAAAACTATGCGCGACAAATCACAGCGCGGCGGGACGCGGCGCGTAAGGGCGAAGGTGGCAAGCAGAACGAGGCTACATGGCAAGTCGACGACGTGCCGCCATGGATGTGATTATTATGGCCTTGACGGCGAACGCGACCATCGTCACAACGGCCATTTAGATTTGACCTCTGCGCTATAACCAAGACACTGCCCATACGACCACCATCTATAACCCTAGGATTTGCTGGTTGCGCCCCATATTCCATCGTGATGGCGACTAAATGCTATCAGGCATGCCATGGACAATCCTGGTGTGCCAGAGACGTGTGTGGGCCTATTGTACGACTCTGCAGCTGGTGCTAGTTTGTGTTAAGAAGTTCCAAATTGCGCACAATTTGTTTCAAGTTTTTGGGTGAGTGTTGTCACGCAATTAATAAAGGCAGCAATCTGATAAGTAGGAATAAGGAACCTTGATATATTTGTGTGACAGAGTAGTGTAGATAGGGCACAGTAGCGAGGATAAAGATAGTTAGGCGGGAACAATTTGGAAGCGAAACCAGGAGAAGCGGGAACCCTAAGCCAGAAGCAACGGATGGCAAAGCAACGGTAAGTGTCAACACAATACTTAGCAGAGCAGAGAGGCCAGTACAGACTGCTTGCTTGTATGTTTTCCCCAATTAGCTAAGAACTTCACAACCTCTCCGCTAGGGAAGCCAGTTCAAGCATCAGTCAGCCGAGCTAACAGACCCACGCAACGAGACATTGTCAGATCTGTTAACATACAAGCAAGAAGGTTATGAGCGACAATGTCCAGCTAAGGTCCGGCTTTAGTTAAAGTACGCAGGCGACGCCTGGTTGGCGAGCCCATGACAGTAGCCTTCGGTCGGAAGGGAGGAGCGCACCAATGTCGCGACGCAGCGAATCGCCGACGTATAGAACGCCACATCAGCGCGAGCGCGTGGAGACCAGGCGCGTGAACGAGATGAAGCCTCCTCCAGCCTCGGACCCTGGGACCGTGCCACCGGACGCCAAGTGGGTTAAAGAAGCGCAAGGACGCTGGAGGGCGAGCACGGCCGACGAATCTCCGAGGAAGATGCCGGGAATGAACGAGAACGCCGCCGCAGCGGCGCAGCCATGGAATCACAAGGGCCCATACCCGCAACCCAGCCCCCGCACACATCGGGAACTGGTGGCAAGCCGTGAAGCCGCGGGCGTACCAGAAGAGGAGGCGGAGCACTTCCCGCCTGGGCGCCGCTGGAGGAATAGTTCGTTGCCGAAGGTCGAGGTGGCAGAGAGGTACACGGGAATCCCAGGAGTGGGACCGACTCTAAAGAACTACGTCATGCAACTAGAGACGGCGCAATACTGCTGGGAGCGCGACGGATTTAACCCGCAAGAATTCTTCCGCAAGATGGTAGTGACCTTAGCCGGCGAGGCGGAGACTTTCTATCGGATGGCGAGGAGCGAGGTACTCGAGGAGCTAGCTGACGGGCTGATTAAGAACCCGACGGATCGCTTCGTGCAGCTGCTGAAACGAGAGTTCGTCGGTCAGACCAAGGCACTGATGGAAGAGCGACGAGAGGAGGAGTCACTTCTATCGTATTTCAACCGTTTGCGGGAGCTCGCGGAGGATTTGGAGAAGAGCGACGAGAGGCTGCTGGTGCAGAAGTTCGTCAAGGGGCTGGACGACGAACTGAGGCCCGTGGTGCGTACGGCGGTATACGGGATCGGGGCAGACATGACCCTGAAAGAAGTGTACGGACTGGCGAAGCGCACCGAACACGCGCAGAGGCTACTGGAACTAGACGACGGACCGTCGCGGACGAGGGAACAGACCAGCTGGGCAGCCGCTGCCGTACCGGAAGGAGAGAAGAACGTCAGGGATCGCGCTGATCCGCGGAGATGCCACACGTGCGGAGAAGCGGGACATCTGAAGCGGGATTGTCCTAGCGCGCCGATCTGCGAAGGGTGCGGAAGAAGGGGGCATCGCCTAAATGATTGTTATCAAGGCGAAGGAGGAGCTACAGGCGAAGATCCGCAAGCTACAAGGGCGATTAGAGAGGATGCCGAAACACGGAGCAGGCAGCCAGGCGATGCTGGCTATCGAAGAGTTTGCCGAGGACGAACTGGCCGAAGAAGAACTGGTGAGAGAGTACGGGTTCATGGCGCATCCCAGAGAGAGGAGCGACATTGACCTGCGGCCCATGCCTGAGCGGTCCGACGAATCCAGCACGACGCAGCGGAGAGAGAGGGGGTCGTCGCAGCGGACTGGTACTTCGAGCGGCGAGATGAGGAGACACCCTAACGAGAGGATGGTGTGCCAAGCCTCGGTGCTGATCGCAGAGAAAGGGAGCTTGACGGTGGGAGGGTAGCCGGTGGGGCAGGGGATCATAGATACGGGCGCCTACCATGTCATCATAGGGAAGGGACTGGCCAAGCAGCTGCAGCTAGACCTACCAGAGCTGCAAGTGGAACGGGGTATTCTGCTAATGACAGCCGAGGGAGGAGAGCCGAAGTGGATGCCCAGCACCAAGAGGCCAGTGGAGATAACGCTGCTGCCGGGTACGGAGAAGGAATGCTGCGTGCGGCTGAAGTGCGGCGTATCGCAATCCGAAGATTACGATGTGCTAGTGGGAATGGAACTTCTGTACAAGGTGGGAGCCACGATATGCACCTGGCAGGAGAAGGTGCTGTACAGGGTGCAGTATTGGGACCCCGAGAGCTCCGTGGGGACCCTACCTGTGCGGTTCGTGAAGCAGGAACCTCGCGCGGCCTACCGGGCAGAAGAAGCGGACCTGTCAAAAGAACTAGATGACTGGACATGGCAGGAGTATGCGGAGGAGGGGCAACGGAGGATTTAGCTGTACGAGACAGGGAGGAGGTCAACGGATCTGAAGGAAAGAGTCAGCAAGACGTGGTGCCTTGACGGAGCCTTGTGCGTACTGGAGCTGTATGGGGGTGTTGGGACAGGGCTCGCAGCAGCATTGAAAGCGGGGTGCTTCGTAGGAAGATGGATCCACGTGGAGAAGGACCCCGTGGTGCGTAAAATGGCGAGACATCACGCCCTCAAGCTCTTGGAAGAGTATCCACAGCAGATGCTGATTACCGCAATTCCCACCGAGGAAGAAGTGACGGTGCATGACATGCGGGGGCCGATCGATTTAGTGGTGGCAGGGTGGGAGTGCCAAGGATACTCGAGAGCCGGAGAAGGGAGGGGAATGGAGGATCCGAGGGGAGCGTCATTCAGGGACTTGGAGAGGGTGTTGCGCCTGCTGCAGCAGAAGGAGAGGGAAGTAGTATTCATCCTTGGAAAATGTAGACATGGCTGATGATAAGAGGGAACCGGTGAAGTGAGCGTTTGAGGAGATCCAAGCCGTGCTAGGCCGAGGGGTGCCCGCTGACGCGGTGCAGCTGGGGTCCAGGGCGCATCGACCGAGACGATACTGGCAGAACGGAGTGTCTGACGCACTGCTGAGACACTCCTTGGCACAGATGCAGAGACCGCACCCGCGGCTGGTGAAGGATATCTTCGGACCTAACCGTGTGCCCGCTCCAGTGACGGTTGAGGACCACCCTTCCCAGTACCAGTGCAATGTCCCAGGAGAGCCCAGACGAGCGTGGCCGACCCTCGTCTCGTTCGCGGATGCCAGGGGCTTCGTCATGGAAGGCAACCTGCCCGGCCCAGGGATGATCTACGACTCGAGAGCGCGTAGATGGGAGCCTCCGACTGCGGAGGAAAGAGAGCTGGCCATGGGGCATAAGTGGGGGGCGACGGCACATCCCGAGGTGATGGAAGGTCAGAGAAGGGCAGCCTTGGGAAGGGCGATGGACCTGAATGTGATGACGTGGATCCTGGAGACCATCCGCATGCATCTCAAGACGAAGTCAGTGGAGAGAGAACTGGACGGCAGCCTACGATACCAGGATGAGAGGGAAGCGGCTTGGAGGAGGCAGCAGCTGGAGAGCATAGAAGCACACCAGACGGACCGGATGATGGAGGGGTGGTCGTTCATGGTGGTGGAGGCGGAGCAGGGAGCTGGAGCCGCGGAGGTCGAAGAGGCAAAGAACGGGGGGCAGAAAGCATCTGGAGCTGGGGAAGCAGAGTGGGAGATCGGGGACGGGCTGGGGGCAGCCGCAGCAGAGGACCTGCGGAAGGTTCTGCAAGAGCACAGGAGCACGTTCGCATTCACGCTGAACGAGCTCGGTAGGTGCACAGTGCAGGAGATGCGCATAGTCCTTAACAGCGAGGCACCGGTGTACCAGCGGAAGCGAAGAATGAGTTTCGGGGACGTGGAGGTGTGCATGGCCAAATGTCAGGAGCTGCTAGCGGCGGGGCTGATCCAGAGGTCAGAAAGCAACTACGCCGCGGCGACAGTAGTGGCTGCCAGGACCGACATCACGGGGGACGTCTCGGCCAAACGCATGTGCGGGGATTATCGGGGTTTGAACAAGGTGACCGTGCCAGATAGATACCCAGTGCAGTCAGCGGAGGAGATATTCGACAAGCTGCACGGCGCCGTGGTGTTCTCCACCTTGGATCTGAGGCAAGGCTTCAACCAGATAGTCATCAGGGAGGAGGACCGCAAGAAAACCGCGTTCCACGGCCCCGACGGGCTGTACGAGTGGAAAGTGATGCCCTTTGGCACGAGGAACGCGCCGGCCGTGTTCCAGCGCACCATGGATACGGTGCTGAGGGGAGTGCCAGCCGCCGCCTGCTACATAGATGACGTGATCGTCTTCAGTGCTTCAGAGGGAGAGCACGTGA